TCTGAATATATAGAGCAGGAGGTTGTTCAGAGGTCTTCTCCCACCCTTCTAGCGTGTGCCTTGACTTCCCTATGCTAGGATCCCATCTGTGCTTCTGGACACCCACTCCCTTTCCCACATGCTGTATCCATACACTGAGATCTGTCAGCTTTCTCTCATCTGTCAGCCCTGTTTGGTTACTCGCCCTAGTCCCTGTGCTCCCTGTATCATCCATGTCCTGAGCAGAAATCATCATGCCAGCAGTGACTGCAGTGAGAGCCGTGCTCCAAGAAGGCTGGAGAGACGGGAAGGGCTACCTGTCATCCCCAAAGCATGGATAAGTGCCTTCATGTCACATCTGGGAGCTGTTGCTCCATACCACTCTGATGTGGTTCAGGTTGTACAGTTTGGGGATCTCTGAGCAGAGACCAAAGCCACTTATGAGCCTGGTTTTTTCTTGGGCTAAGGTTGGTCTGATGTTCCTATCCCTAAGTTTGAAAATGTCAGGATTTGGAAGAACAACACAGCGTGTGCTGTAAAAGATCACTCTCTCTTTGTCCAGTACTTAAATGACTAAGTAGTAGTTGAAATAACAGGAAAGATAAGTCCAAGGTTTTTTTAAGGCCATGTTTGAGTATAAGTCTGTTTTCTTAACATATCATCTTTCCTTCCTCTGAGACATTTACTATATTTTTTTATTTAGAGCAAGGAGAAGGAATAAAACATGTGCTGTCACTGCCCTTGAACGTCTTTGCAATGTTGGCACTTCTCCCCCCTTGTTTCACTTCACTTCTTGTTGGTTTGCCTTTCTGTCTGCCTAATGCATCAGCTTGCAGGAGGATACCTTATAAAATGGAAACCTTTCCTGCGAGGCATTCCTTTCTAGCCTGTAAAGTCTTTGCTGTAAATTTGCTCCAGTCTTACTAACCACTTTGCACCAGAGTCATAAATTTGAATAACTTCACAGAAGAGGATTTGCCTGAAAGTGGGTCACACAAACAGCCCTCTTCAGACAGGGGCTGACACAGTGTGGTACAGTGGGCTTTCTCCTCTACAATAAAATAAATGACAGCAATTAGCTTGTTTGTTCTGCCACAAGCCTTGCACTTCTAGCACTTCTGTTCAGTTTGGGACAGGTTTTAGGCCTGGAAGGAATGCAGAATTAGGAATTGCTATGGAGCGATATCTCTGTAATATCAGCAGACTCCAGACATTTAGCTGCTTAAATGCCTGGCTCAGGGTTGCAAAAGCAAGATGTTACTCCTGTTAGGTAATAGCAGAGACATATAATTTGAGGGAATTTTGGATGTGAATTTTGTGGCTCTTTTATGCCAACATACGTCTGGGCTTCCTGTCTGTAGTTAGAGGCCCCTGAGCAGCAGCAGGTGAATTGCTTGTCAGTGGTGTGGAGCAGTGGTTTCCAGCTGTGTACAGAGGTGCAGTTACACCAGCTGTGACAGGAGCACCTCCACACCCACCAGAAATCATACTTAGCTGCCTCACTTGACTTTTGTGATTCCTACCCATTTCTAGCAGATGGGGAAAAAGGGCAATGTTGACTACAGGAGGAACTTGCACCTTGTTCCATGTGACAGAGAGGACTGGAAAACTTTAAAGCTGCTTCAGGGTCTTTAATTTTCCTTTAGCCTGTTTGTACAGTATGTGTACTTCTGTGGTGTTAGCACAAAACCAACAGTTTTTAAAACTTAAATGCAATTAACTTAAGTCATTTTAAGGGAATGAAATTCAGACCTGCCAGCAACGTGCTTTAACACTTGAACCTGCTCTCTCCTCCAGCTGGAAAATTAAATCCAAAACACAGAATCATAGACTAGTTAGGGTTGAAAAGGACCTTAAGATCATATAGTTCCAACCCCCCTGCCATGGCCAGGGACATTTCACACTAAACCATATCACCCAAGGCTCTGTTCAACATGGCCTTGAACACCGCCAGGGATGGAGCATTCACAGCTTCCCTGGGCAACCCATTCCAGTGCCTCACCACCCTCACAGTAAAGAACTTCTTCCTTACATCCAATCTAAACTTCCCCTGTTTAAGTTTTAACCCATTACCCCTTGTCCTATCACTACAGTCCCTAATGAAGAGTCCATCTCCAGCATCCTTATAGGCCCCCTTCAGATACTGGAAGGCTGCTATGAGGTCTCCTTGCATCCTCCTCTTCTTCAGGCTGAACAGCCCTAACTTTCTCAGCCTGTCTTCATATGGGAGGTGCTCCTGTCCCCTGATCATCCTCATGGCCCTTCTCTGGATTTGTTCCAACAGTTCCATGTCCTTTTTATGTTGAGGACACCAGAACTGCACACAATACTCCAAGTGAGGTCTCAGGAGAGCAGAGTAGAGGGGCAGGATCACCTCCTTTGACCTGCTGGTCACGCTCCTTTTGATGCAGCCCAGGATACAGTTGGCTTTCTGGGCTGCGAGCGCACACTGAAGCCAGCTCATGTTCATTTTCTCATCGACCAACACCCCCAAGTCCTTCTCTGCAGGGCTGCTCTGAATCTCTTCTCTGCGCAACCTGTAGCTGTGCCTGGGAATGCTCCAACCCAGGTGTAGGACCTTGCACTTGGCATGGTTAAACTTCATGAGGTTGGCATCAGCCCACCTCACAAGCGTGTTGAGGTCCCTCTGGATGGCATTCCTTCCCTCCAGCGTATCAACCGAACCACACAGCTTGGTGCCATTGGCAAACTTGCTGAGGGCGCACTCAATCCCACTGTCCATGTCAGCGAGAAAGGTGTTGAACAAGACCGGTCCCAACACCGATCCCTGAGGGACACCACTCGTTACTGGTCTCCAGGTGGACACTGAGCCGTTGACCACAACTCTTTGGGAGCTGCCATCCAGCCAGGTCTTTATCCACTGAGTGGTCCATCCATCAAATTGATGTCTCTCCAATTTAGAGACAAGGATGTTGTGTGGGACAGTGTCGAATGCTTCGCACAAGTCCCGGTAGATGATGTCAGCTTCCTGTCCGTCAGTTCTGTAGCCCCATCATAGAACATAAGTGAAGAGGAATTATTATGGTCAGCACATCCACCTTCCCAATAGAGATAGGTTAGGTTAGTTAACTGAATAGCATTCTTAATACTGGAACTTCCAGTTAGGTGCCTCTGTGGTGAGTTATTGAGGTGGAAGTTTGATGCTTATCAAGATATGAATACCTTTGTTTAGAGGAAAGAAGAGCAGCCATCCTTGCTGGATGGTACAACTATAGCCTGTTTTCAGACTAGAACAGATGTTCTGTAGATGAGAGTATTGTGCATGTCACAGTGAGTTCCCATGATGTGGGAAGTAATTCAGACAAGTACAGAATCCAGACTTTTCTCAAACTGTTAGCTTGAACCAGGTGCTTCACTGATTTCTTCTGTAGGCATTAAACACTTGAAGGCCTAATCCAAATCCAGTTGATGTTAACTGAACCTGGTATTACTTGGTGGGATTGGGGTTTGTTGAAGTATTCAGCTGAATCTTGTAGCATGCTACAGTCATTCCAGGCCCTTTTCTTCAGCCTGCTGCTCTCCTCTGCCTAATGCACACTATGTCCTCATCGCTTGCAAGCTACCAGCAGTGATGCAAATTATTATTACTGCATGCCAAAACTTTTGGTATTACACTTTACTGTATATTTTTCCAAAATAAAAGCTTTAGTGACTGAAGTAATTATGTGTCTGTTCTAAATACTGGAGAGGAAGTAAAAACCCCACAATCTTGCAAATGGAAAAGCAATGAAGAGTTTTAAACCTGAATCTTTCAGAAGTTCCAATGGACCATGAGATGACTTTGTCATCTCACTACAGTATTGCTTCCAATTTAGGTTTCAGCATTAACTGTTGCATTACTGATGATTTTGACAGAAACATATGCTGCTCTGAAGTTTGCATTGCACAGTAAGTGTTTGGACTAACTTTAGTTGAGAAGGATTTCATGACTGTCCTGGGGAAGTGATTTCATTTGTTGCCTGATAGATGACAGGAAGTTCCCTGACTTAAATCTAAGTTTTTGTCACTTGTAGCTTTCTAAAAGTATGGACTGTCTGCTTCAAATGGTTTAATTTTCAATTTGCACATGATTGTTTATACCCACATAACTATTGGGATTTTATTTCTGCATTTCTTTCTTTTGTCTGAAGTGTCATTTGAGGTACAAACAAGCCACCCCTCTGTCTGTTCATCTTACATAGAACTCGGTGGGGGGCAAAGATGAAGGTCTCAGGCACCTACCTGCCTGCATATATATGTGTGTGTGTGTGTGTGTGTGTGTGTGTGTGTGTGTGTGTGTGTGAGTCTCTGGTTTTAATAAGAGAAAGCTCAGGTGCAGTGGCAGTTCAGCAAGCTGGGTCATATGCCATTATTGCAAACACTTCTGTATGTTGTCATTGCTGATTGCAGCAAAGTGCATTTTCCTTCAGGGTTATATAAAGTTCATATGATTTCACAGACCAGGATGGTATTTATAGCTAAGGGGCTTTCTTCTTTGCAAATCTTAGAAAATGTATAGGATGCCTGTTGGCATTAACCAGTGTTCAGATTTTTAGGTTGGGATATTGTGGCACCACATTCTGCTCCTTTAGCTCTCCTTTTTGTTATATCAGTATACGCTGTCACTCTACTGGCCTGCTTCCCTCTCCTCTGTGGCATAGAAAGCTGGTTTGCTGTGGATAGACTATCTAAAGAGGAAAAGGCAAGCGTCCTCCATGCATGGTGCACCTCCAAATATTTAGAAAATGCACCAGTCTCTCCAAGAAAGTAGGTACTGCTTTGCAGCATATCCTTAATTCTTGGCATTTTGTCTAGGTATCAGAGAGTGAGATAGAGAACTCACATTGCAGTTGTATAAATAAATCAGAAAGGTAGGACATTCATGTGATAGTGCCATCTGTTAAGTACCAGTTGTAATTACCTAGCTTAAGGAATGATCCAAGATGACCGATTAGAGTTTCCATGCTGAATAATTCTCTGTACCACAGTCCTGATGCTGTTTCTTTCATATTTGATTCCAGGAGCTTCTGGAAGTGGGAAAAGGGAATCTGGTTGTGTGACAGCAGCCCTTGGCAACACATGGAGTCACAGCGTCAATACGAGGATCATACTACGATATCGTGACTTGCTGACAAGACAGGTGAGAACAAAAAAGAGAGTTTGAATAAAGCTACAACAGCAGTGCTCAGTCAGATGGGCTGTGTCCTTCAGCCTCTGTGATTATGCCACACGTGTTGAGAACCTGGTGCCCTGCAGCCAGTTGCTTATTTGGTGTCGGGGCTAATCAATGTCCTTTGTTTTTCAGGGATGGCAAATCCTCCAGTGCCTCCCTGTGTTAGAATGGGCTTATCTTAGTCACAGGACCTAGTGTTGGCCTGGTGGCACAGGCATACAGGCTCCTTGAAGTTTTAGTGCATTTCATGTTGTGGAGATGAAGGGTGATCCTTAAAGTAATTCCTGCACAGGGCTTTTGGGGCAGGAGTAGGAGGCTAGTGCTTTCATTGCCATGATTTTTTGCTGTCATTGTTTCCACTCGTTGTGCTAAACTTCAGCTGTGACAGTTAGGGGAGTACTCTTGTCTTCTGCAGCTACTGCTTGCAAGTTAAGCTTGATGCCTGCCCCAGCAAGCTTTAACTTTGAGCAGTGTGGTACTGATTTTCCAGAAGTATGCCTGCAAAAAGAAGAGTACTTGCCCTTTTCATTAAGAGACCTCATGATTTTGAGTGAAATGGAGTAGCATTTTAGACTGCAGTCTTCACCTCTTAATTTTAAAAAAACTGTGAAAAACTAGGAAGCAAGGCATTGGGGGTTTGGTTGACGGAATAACTTTTTTCTGTTTTTAAAAACACTATAACCCATGATTTCATCTCTCCCTTGGGATATCTACGATTATAATCTCTTTTGGCTTTGTCTATTCTGTTTTTTGCATTGATGTAACTCTTTCCAAAGGCTGTGACCCTCGGTCTTAATGTCACTCTCTGCCTGTTGAAGTAGAGACTTGTCAGAAAAATGTCTCCGTAAGATTTGTGCCATCCTTCACCTATAGCATTACTGCCCACATACGTTCAAATTAGTGGTCCTGGTTTTACTGTCACAACACGAGGTTTCTCACTTCTAGGTTTCAGTCTTTCGAGCGTGAGAGCTCTGAAGACTGAGAAGCCTGAGGAGACCAAGTCATCCCATTTCATTCTGCTCATTAGAAAACTATAATCATGGCACTTCTGTTCCTGCAAGTAGGCACCGTGAAGCAGTGGTAGTCCCCTGGACTCTGGTAGCAGGCTAAATGTGTCAAATGCAGATAGAAAAGGCATCTTCTGGACTCTCTTCTAACAACTGTGCACAGTTGTATCGAAACTGCTGCTGCTCTTGTAAGTTCTCTATGTTCTGGTCTGTAATGAGTTCTCTTTTCCTACATGTGTGTGCAAAATACAAAGCTGTTCACAAATTTCCTGGATTGTTTTGGAGTATGTGAGAGGTGGAGCTGGCAAAGGGAAAAGGGCAGAAACTGGGCTCTGTGCTAATTCCTGATGCTTAAAGTCAGCTAAAAAGGATTAAGAACGTTCCTCTGGTGGTGGAAAGATGGAGCAGTTTTCCTGAAGAACATTAGATGTGGTTTTTCCTGATTTTGTTTGAGAATAGATTGCGAGTGTATGAAATGTTGTTTTCAGTCTTTTAAAATTCCATTATAAAAGATATACTTTGGTCCACTTAAAAAAACACCCAGAGTTTCACTCTGTTCCTAACTGGATTTATCAGGTGCACCACCTCGCTTGCATGTGAAGCCACAGGCTCGTTCTGTTTTGGTTGAGCAAAAGAACAGAATGTACAGTGAGGGAAAACAACCCCAAAGTAAACATTAAAATATATTATTAAAAACAAAGTAATTTGAAACAGAAGTGTGATATAAATAGTGATATGTCTGTGAAGCCCATGAATGAAATGGGATTTATCCATGGTGTCCTGTAAATATTTTCCTGTTGCTGATAGTTGTGTCCTTTTTTTTTTTCTAGATAAATTCTCTTTTCTTAGAACTGTAGAAATCTTCTAGCTAGACATGCAGTTTCCAGTTAGAGGAAGGCATCTAGAATTACAGTACCTGTAGCAGCACTGTATTGATCAAATTACTGTAGTTTTACACACATAAGTTCTTTTATAATTGCTTTATAGCCACTTTCAGAAATGAATTTTGAATAAAGGCACCTCAGTTCTTGAGATGCCATTTCAGTCATCATAAGGTGCTTCTGCCAAGAGGTATTGGATATCAGTGCTTTGAAACTCAGCACTTTTTAAGGAAGCTTAACTTGGAGGTCCAAAACTTCTCGTCAGTAATCACTTCTACAAATTCGCATATTACTGTATAAAAAAAAATAAATAAAAAAGGAAGCCTGTGATTATGTGTGTAGTCTTGGTTTTAAAGTAAAATTCTGCCTCAGGAAATTACTGAAAGCACACAGTTGTTCTAGAGATTTGGGTGAAAAGTAGTGCAAAACCAGGTTTTCCGTGCCTTTCATGAATTGTAACCCTGCAGAATCAATATAGTGTAAGGAATAACCTGTGTTTTGTTCTGACTGACACAGTGGACACAATTTTTTCTTTCAAAAGCCAAAATTCATTCTTTCTTTGGTCACTTGACCTCCTGAAGGTGTTCTTCCTGGCTCTACTTTCTCTCCATCTTTCCCCGGAGGTGCTGGGGCAGTGGTGCTAGTCTGAGCGATCCTCTCCTACATCCAGCTTCTGTGGTAGTAGAACCAGTGCACTAATCCTCGCTGGGAAATCCTACCCATTGAAAGTACCTCTTAGAATCATAGAATAGTTATGGTTGTAAAGGACCTTAAGATCATCTAGTTCCAACCCCCCTGCCATGGCAGGGACACCTCACACCAAACCATACCACCCAAGGCCTCGTCCAACCTGGTCTTGAGCACTGCCAGGGATGGAGCATTCACAGCCTCCCTGGGCAACCCATTCCAGTGCCTCACCACCCTAACAGGAAAGAATTTCCTCCTTATATCCAAGCTAAAGTTCCCCTGTTTAAGTTTTAACCCGTTACCCCTTGTCCTGTCACTACAGTCCCTAATGAAGAGTCCCTCCCCAGCATCCCTATAGGCCCCCTTCAGACACTGGAAGGCTGCTATGAGGTCTCCACGCAGCCTTCTCTTCTCCAGGCTGAACAGCCCCAGCTAATGTAATTGTTAAGGAAGATTCAACAAAGCAGTTTTCCAGAGCTATAGTATTTTCTGGATAGAAGAGGCCACTGGATTACTAGTGTTCTTAGTCATGCAGGTTTTCCTTTCTGGGAAAGCTTGGGGGTGTAGTCCCTGTTCCTGAAACTTTGGGGAATGCCAGGGCTGCAGATGGCAGAACGAGTGTGCAATAAATCTAGGGGAATTAAGCATAGAATTCCTACACCGTATTTTTTTTTTAATATATTAAGTAAAAGATCCCTTTATTTTGTTTGTCCAGCAGACGTTTTTTTCAGCCAGCTATCCCTTTTTCCACCCCACGCTCCGTATGTCTGGTGAACAGTTATAAGACAGAAGCCAATTCAGCAAAATAGTGGTATTTCTGGGACATCCCGCCTGCTTTAAAATCAGTCAGATTTCCTTTATTGCTTGGATGGGAACAGGTTTCTGAACAAACACATGAACTTTCCTCTTTTTGCCCACTTCTAGAAGCCAGGGTTCTGGTTTTTGTTTCCTCCAGGACAGAAGCAATGCAACTAGGGGAGGGCAGAAGGAGGTTTACAGTCTTTATTTAAATTCATTATGCCATCAAAACCCACAAGTATGGACAACAGTAAGAGTCTTTTAACTGCTGAAGTGAGACTGAGCTGCACATGTTCCACAGTGGCATAAAAGGTTGGGAGAACATGGGAAAATTTAATTGTTTCACATAAGTGGGTTTATGGAGGGAGTTTATTGTTATATTTATGGATACTGATACTCTGTTGTCCCTAAGCACTCTTACGAGTAGTTGACCATAACATTTGTTTTTCCTGAAAACTGTACATAAATGTGCAGACTCTTAGAGTTTCAGCTAAAACCAATGGGGCTACACTAAAACACTAGAAACTGTCAGCCTCTTCAGTTACACTTATGTGTATAATTATCCTTCTTTCCTGAGCTGGAGTCAGCAGGCTCCAAGGTTACTGTGTTCCTGTGTGCTCAGCTGTCTTTGGGGAACAGCATGGTAGGGTTTAATACATTGACATGCTATGTTTAATGTTTTGTTCTTCTCTGTTGGAGACGGGGTGCTGGGTTAGGTAAGGCCCTGGCCAGATCTGGTATGGCAACTTCTATGGGCCTGGTTTATATGATAGTTTTCGTGGGATTTGTAAGACTCATAGTATTGTGTTAATGTCTGTAATGTGTTTTGAAATTCTCAGATGGAAAGTGCACATAGATTGTTATTTTATAACAAATCAGTGTTTTCCTATGGTATTTTCAAGAAAGAGCGTTTAGAATCATTGAATAATTTAGTTTGGAAAAGACCTTTAAGATTATCGAGTCCAACCATTTACTGAGCACTGCCAAGCCCACCACTAAACCATGTCCCTAAGCACCACATCTACACGTCTTTTAAATACCTCCAGGGATGGTGACTCAACCACTCCCCTGGACAGCCTGTTCCAATGCTCGGCAATACTTTAAATGAAGAAATCTTTCCTCTAAACCTTCTCTGGTGCAACTTGAGGCTGTTTCCTCTTGTCCTATCACTTGTTACTTGGCAAGAGACCAACACCCACCTCACTCCATCTTCATTTCAGATAGCTGCAGAGAGTGATAAGGTCTCCTCTGAGCCTCTTTTTCTCCAGGCTAAACAACCCCAATTCCCTCACCCATTCCTCATAAGACTTGTGCTCCAGACCCTTCACCAGTTTCAGTTCCCTTCTCTTGACCTGCTACAGCACCTCAGTGTCTTTTTTGTAGTAAGGGACCCCAGAACTGAAAACAGTGTTCAAGGTGCGGCCTCACCAGTGCTGAGTACAGGGGAACAACCACTGCCCTGGTCCTGCTGGCTACACTATATCTGATACAGGCCAGGATGCAGTTGGCCTTCTTATCTGCCTGAGCACAAGCTGGCTTAAGTTTGGCCAGGTCCCTTACCACTGAGAGTATTTCCAGTCACTCTTCCCCAGAC